CGAAGAGCTGGAAGGGACCAGCTGCAGGGGGATTGGGGACGGTAGAGTGGGAGTCTGGCCTCCCGGCCGGACAGAAGCTGTTTGGAGTGAAATCTGTTTTAATTCACGTTGCCTGACGGATTTTTATTTATTTATGCGGTAGAAAAAAAAATACAAAACGATATATAAGTCGGGATAGATTATATATATATATATACTCCGATTTATATGTATGTATGTGTGTACTGTGAAATCCCCATAACTGAATTGTTGCCTTTGGCTAGATAAGTGCTTAAGGGAGCTCTGGCTACTTAAATGCTTTAGAAACGCTTAAACTCAGACTGTATCGGGGTATATATGCATATAGATATCAACAAATCTATTTGGATTATATTTTTTAAGTTTTACATTACATTAAAATAAAGTTATTTTTCAATTTCTTTTTTATGCATTGATATAATTTTTTCATTATAAATTTTTCACTATATAGCTATAAAAATATAAGCCATATAGATTATATTTGATGATCAGGTATGTAGCTCAGATATTTGGATTAAATTATTATGCTAATCGAATCGATGAATCGATGAAAATGCTATCCTCTTGAAAAGAATTTGTTCTCGATAATTCTCGATAATTTTCGATGATTTGAATTTCTGTGTAAATCGAAAAAGCTGAATCCCTTGCCATTTTGAATTATCGGGACTCGACTGTATGCTCAAAAGCTATTGATAATAATACCTGGAAAACTTTGCTCTGAGATGTATTAGTTGTATTAAGAGATGAGTGATTGGATAGCAATGGCTATATACATACATATATGAACTAGCTTTCGGTTCTATATATTCTTGTAAGAAATTTTGAAGTTTCTGTGTATATACATACTAAGAATCGGTTCTATATTTGTAAGTCTTGTAAGGAATCTTTATGTTTCTATATACATATATGAACTAGCAATCGGTTCTATATATACATTTATATTGTATGTATATTTAGCATTTTTTAGGAATTTTGAAGTTTCTATTTCGAATTTGACTAAATCTCCATAGAGAGCTTTCACTGTACTGCCTCTCTCTGTATATATTATATATGTGTTTGTCCTTTCCGACTTGCTTGACTTATTTATGTGACGCTAGGTGTGCGACGCTGCGTGGGTAACATTTGGAGCAGAGGCGTTGACAAACGCCAAGGTCAATAGTAAACCAATTTACTTTTGTTGTTGTTGTCAACGCCTTTTGCCCAAGATTTCTCGCACCTTTCCCACTCTCGCTCAGTGTTGCCCCCTTTCTAATGCTCACTCTCTCTCTCTCTCTCTCTCGCTCGCTGTGTTATCTCTCTGTGCTGTCTTTGGCCTTTGTCCTTATACTGGTTGTCTTCGTTACGCTGTGTGCGTTAATCCGCACGCCCAGCGTTTTGGCCCCGTCGATACGCAAGGGTTGTCAGCAACCCCCAAACAAAAAAAAAAAAAAAAAAAAAAGAAGAGAAACAGAAGAAGCAGAACCGTTAGACACACCGAGATATGTTCGCCTACCCTTATGCGGCGCATCAGCAGCTTCTGCTGAAAACATTTGACAACTGTTCGGGCATTAGCTGTCATTTTGGCGCCACATATACAGCTAGGTGGCCGAGGCGCTCCACACAGGACTCCTCTCCCTACAGTCCGCTAGCCTCCCCCTGCACCCTCCCCGTTCCCAGCCTAGCCAGACAAGCAGAAAATAAAAAAGAAAGTAAGCAAACTTTTAGCTTTAACTTGATGCGATGATTGGGTCAATAGTGCCTATGTCCCAGCTCAGCGCGGCCCTCTTCCCCTCGCCGTTGCCTACCCTTCGCCATCGACTTTCGCTCTGGCCGCTACGTAAGCTGCAGATTAGTCGGGCATGCAAACAGAATAAGTAATGCAAAATCCATTGGGATATCGAGAAATGATTTTTCCTCTCTTCTGCTTTTGCTCGCTTCGTTATCTCGTTTCTATTTTTTTTTATTCTTTTATCGAGAGTTATTTGTTGCCATTGAACAGCTGATGGCGTCACATGGCCATTGATAAGAAAATCCATTTTAAATGTAAATCAAATAACTGATTGGCTTTTATCAAATGTTATCGTTTATCGTTGGCTTAGTCTAATTGTTGTTTAAGTAACAATAAAGAACTATAACTGCTAATCTACAGCTATCGATAGTTGTCGATAGCCAATAGAATAGGCATGAATAGAATTACGTACATAGTTATTCTTTTGAGAGAAGAAGAATGTTATTTGCTTAAAAGCCATTTAGGATCGGCTGTAGCTTTTAACTGGCTTTTCGCTTCAAGTATACCGAAACGTATCGATATATATCGATATCGATCAATACAACTTATTACATGATACCTGTTGATATCTATCAATACTTGTAGATACCTATAGATGTCTAAAGATAAATATATGTACATGCGAGTCTCGATAATTTGTACCTCGCTAATTCGAAAATCGCGATAAATCGAACAAATTCGATCTCCTTGAAAGAAATTCGTTCTCAATAATTATCGATAATTTGAATACGAATTATCGAGATTCGAATGTATATGCTTTGTGAAACAATTACCGTTACATAAAATTATCGATAGTTTTATCGTTTTATACATCATATAATATACATCATATATATATATTATTTTGATATATTTTAAATAAATTGTTCATATTGAAATCTCTACTAATACAGCTCACTAAGTATAGTTATTAACAGTTTTAGTTACCATACTGTAAACGTTATGTTATTATGCAATGTAAAGCATTAACCCCTCTTTAATAAAGTATGTAAATTGTCTGCCCTTGAATGGCACGTTATGCTGAAATCATCGAATCGATTGTTTTTGTACCGATTGTCCATGAATATCAATTTGTGTGGCTCTCTGGCTCCTGGCAGCTCTATTAAATGATGGGCAGCACATGTCGAGCTGTGTGCATTCTGTAGTCCTTCTGCTTTGCTAATGAGCATTGTAATTCGCAATATTTAATAATTAATTGATTAATGTAGTTGCAATTGTGTGTGAGTGAGTGTGCGGGCCATAAATCGTGAATGTGTTTTCGAATCTTTGGCTGTGGCTGTGGCCATGTTGTAAATGAAATTGGTTAAAGGACATCGAGAAATCTAATTGATTATGCAATAGTCATTCATTTTACGACACTCGTGCTGACGAGTGGCTGCCCATGGACAGCATTCAAGTTGCAGCAGCTGAGACAGAGGCAGAGACTGACTGAGAGAGGCAGTGAGAGAGAGAGGGAGAGGAAGGGAGACAGAATGAGAGCAGACGGCAATTCTAAGCAATGTGGGCAGAGGACAAGGACATGTCGCTTGTACTTTGATGGCATTTCAAATAAAAATGCGAACATAAATGCGAAACTGCCTGCGATTGAGCGCAAATAAAAGCGAAAAAAATCTCACCAATTGAGTGAGTGCGGAAAAGTGCTGGGAAAATTCTGTAGAAAACTCCAGAGAGTTCAGAAAAAAACCATCTAAATTGGGGGCGAAGCAGCAGTGGAGCGAACGTTTTGCCATTTGCGTTTTGGCTTCAAATTGCTTTTGGCCAGGATTTAATGATGACACACTGTCCTCCACGTACGCGCCCTCGACCTTGCCTATGAGCCATTAAAAAGCAAATATTTAGATGTATATTCCATATATACATATATATGTGGGATAAATATTTATGTGACATTTGACCCGAAGTTCGTTTTGCGGACAATTTATGATTTAAGGCCATTTCGTGTCACTGCATTAGCCAGTCCGACACCAGTTCCAGTTCCAGTTCCRATTCTAGTTCCATTTCAGCACTTATTAAATTCTTAGTTAATTTGCTTTTATTGCTGCACCGACTTTGACTAGTTCCAGATGCGGAACTAGTTTTGGTTCTGGCTAAAGTTTCAGTTCCAGTTGAGATCCTTCTAATCTTCCAAAGGAAATTAGTTTTGTCTGTTTTGATAGTTTTTATGTTGATAGTTTTTACGTTCTGTATAGATAATACATGTAATGTTCGATTGAATTAGCTCCAGTTTCAGTTCCAGCTCCAATACTACTTTGACTATTTCTTGAACTATCTGCTTAGCTGGTTGCCGTGGTCATTTTTGTCTAACTTGAAAAAAGATATTTGCTTGGGATGAGTTTGCTGAGCAAGTTCCGGTTCCTTTTAAGTGTAACTTTAATTGGCTTGGCCCTGTTTTAGTTTCACCTTTGATATCTAATTATATGTATATTATACGACTTTCAGCTTCATATTTAGCTCTGACTCCAGTTCCAACTCCAGTTCCAGTTCCAAGCAATTTGAAGCATAGAAGTCGGTTCTTGCTAGTCATAGTTAACTATATATCGAAGATGTCTTTAAGTTTGGCATTAGTTCCAGTTCTGGTTCCAGTTCAGGCTCTAGTTCCGGTTCCAGTTGCAAGCTGTTTTGTCACAAAATATAAATTTTTGCATATAAGGGAATATAGGTAAATAATTTTCCCTGTACCTCTGTCTTTGATGGTAGTTCCACTTCCAGTTCAAGTTCCGATTTCACCTCCAGTTTCAATGCTAGTTCCACCTTAAGTGCCACTTAAAATAATGGCATTTTAGCTTAGCTTCTGGTTTCTTGCTTAATTCATGACTTGGCAAGTTTTCGTTTCAAGTGTCAGTTCCGATTCCGATTCCGATTCCGGCTTCAGTTTCGGTTTCAGTTTCTGCTCCTCACCTAGATTCGTTTCAACCGCATGCATAATTCAGTTAGTTCTTTGTTATTTATGATATATTTCGGTGCTCACAAAGTTCTGGCTAAACCAAAATATACCAAAAAGGCCAAAGAAGAGCACGAAAAGGGAAAACACAATCAAAAACAACAAAGCAGAGTAACAGAAACAAAAACAAAAACAAAAACAAAAACATAAAACAATAACAACAATGTGTAAAAAGGTTTTGCAGTTCGCGTAGTTCTGGATGTGTCTGGATGGGTCAGCAACTGTAGCGAGCTTGAAGGGTAATCAATATATGCGCTGCTTTAACGTGTTCACTGCACACACACAAACACACACAGACACAACCACACACATGCACACCCTGTTGAGTAAATGAAACGTAACTAACGCCCGCTGCATGTAAATGGAATAAACATCATTTATAAACTGAAATAAAGAAAAAGAGCAGAAAAAAATAAGAGAAAAAGTAGAAGAAAAGATGAAGGGGATATGTCTATGCAAAAAAAAAAAAAAAAAAAGAGAAGCTAGCTGGTAATTGCCGCAGCTTTGAATGTCCTTCAATCGATCCCTTTGAATGCATTCAATGCAGCACACAGTTTTGTTGAACTTCTCACTTAGGTTCTTTCTTTCTCTTTGTTGGTTTCCTTTTCATCGGCGTTGCTCTTTCGATTTCGATTTCCATGTCGACTTCAGCTTTGTCCACAGTGTTGCCCTTGCTTTAACTTCTTGTTTGCTTCACTAAGTGCGTTCACTCTTGATGCCATCTCTTGGTTGCAGTTTTTCCGCTTTCACACTTAATTCTAAAGGATTTTATTTTTTTAAAGCTGATTTAGCTTATTTTTTCCAGCATTATCTTAATTTTGATCTTAACTTCTCTCGTCGCTTCTTGCTTAAGTTACCTGTCAGTTCAGTACTAACTTTATACACTACCTTTTTCGTACTTCTCGCTTCTTCCTATGAGGAAAATGATTTCTTGTTGAACTCAACTTCTTTTCTCGCTTCTCACTTTCTAATTCGAAGGCTCTTTATTTTAATTTATTTCGTCGTTTCTCACTTCATACACTTGGAAATCATTTCCGTTTCATTCCGTTTGGAACTCGTCTTTTCGTCTCTTCCTTTGTTCTGCAATTCTCTTTTCGCTTCTCTTGACCCTAGCATTTTATTGTATTCTGTTCTATCCCGCCTATTGTCGCTTCTCACTCTCCCTTTCACTTGACCACTCCATTAGCCTCTCTTGCGTGCATGACCTTAAAATGAACTCATTTAAAACTTGTCTAATATTTATATAACAATATTGTTAATTCTTGTCGCCCGCTTGATTATGTCATCCCAGTTCTGGCTTATGGACACATTTCCTAAAGTGAAAGCAGGTGGTAATTAAAATTCTAAATACTCCATCGGGCACGCAGTGACAGAGCACATAACAAAATGCTCTTTAACAAGGTCATCAAAAAGGGGGCCATCCCACTACATATACTATTGTAGTATACTCTATATGTATGTATGCATGGAGTAATAATATATAGTTTAGTACAGTTTCTAGTTAGCTATCTATCTCTGTCTATCTGTCTAACGCTATCTCCATCGCACAACGCTTTAACTCATGTGGCCCCGGATGATATTTTAGGGCCATGTCTGCATTCTCTCATTTATAATTTATACAACTTTAATGAACAACATTAATATGCGAAATACGACAGGGTTGAGCGTTTCAAGGAGGATTTCCCTAGCTAATACCATTTTTTTTTTGGCCAATTTGTATACCCTTTTAGCCAGTGAAAAGAGTGTATATTAGCTATGCAGAGTATGGTATTATGCATATAAATTAGAGTTAAGCTTCTGCTTAATACAATGAAAAGAGATATGCGATATGGTATAGAAAAAAAATTTAGAGTCGGGTATATCTAGCTTGAATCCAGGAAAATGAAGCAACGACGATTGAGCTCTTCTATAGATTGATATAAAAAACGGTATAGTATACATAAGCCCTTTGGGGCTTGACACACTATGAGAGTTAGGATGTACAGAATATTACGATAGTTCTATATATATGTATATACATATGTGAAAAGTTCGATTAATAATAGTTTCACAAACGAGTATAATGCAGTCGCTGAAGCCAGCTCACACTATTTTTTTTTTTGTATTTTAGCAGTTGGACAACTCTTTGGGGATAACATTGTAAATTTAATAATAATCCCGTAGATCCATTCAGTGCCGTGCATTACGTAGAGGGCAAAAGTGTTGGGATTTTGTGTCGTAAAAACAAAACTAATTTGGTATAAAATCAAATATGAATGCACAAAACTTTTCGCATTGAATATTATTTGAGAAGCTTTAGCGCTTACAAATTTTTAAAATGCTCGTTTGTTTCATGTTGGATTGTCGCACTGTGAAACTTTCGGGACTAACAGTTTGATATATAGATATAAACATGAATATACATATTCCATATGCATATTTCCCTACATGTATCTGTGTGGATATAGTAAATTGTTGAGCGCTTGACAGTTGAGCTGGCAACAGTCGAAACTTTCACAAACATTAAGTAAGTTTTTGGTTCATGAGCATTTAAAGCAATTGAAAGCTTACTGGGTTCATGTGTTGAACGTTTACAGATAAAACAGGGATGAAGAGGGAGTTATACGGATAGGGATAGAAGGACTATAGTCATAGAGAAAAGTACAAGGAGAGGTAAAGGCTAAAGCAGTCAGATAATTGAGTAGAATAGATAGAAAGATAAGGGTAAATAGAGATGAAGAAGTGGGTGGTGAAAGTGAATAGGGAGAGAGAGAAAGAGAGAGAGAGGAGAGATAATGATTGAAAGCGAGAAGCGATGGAGTTAGAGAGGGATATCTGAAGGGAGAGAGAGAAAGAGAGGAGATATCATAATTGAAAGAAAGAGAGAGAGAGCGAGAGGTACATAGAGAGGGAGGAAGAGCGAGCGAGAGAGAGAGGAGAAGAATATCAGATAGAGAGGGAAGAAAGAGAGAGAGAGAAGAGACATGATGATTGAAAGAGAGAGAGAGGGACATAGAGAGGGAGGAAGAGAGAGAGAGAGAGCTAGAACAGAAAAGAGAAGAGAAGCAGAGAAGAGAGACACAGAAGAGATAGAGAGTAAGGAAAGAGAGCAAAGCGAATGAAAAATTGAGCGAGAGAAAGGAAAAGGTGAGGGCGAGGGACATAGACGAAAGAGAGAGGGAGAGAGACGAAGGAGAGAGCTAACAGAGAATAACTAATATAGATTGATCCTATTGCAAGCTTAAAACTTCCATTCCGATAGTATCGCATACGATTTTAGCTTTATCATACGCACAACGAAATAAAATCTAAAACAAATATCGAGCGAGCTTTAATTATTTGCTCTTGGTGAAATCACCCCTTGATCCGTTGTCCCGATGTACCGTTGTCCCGATGTCCCGTTGTCCCGATGTCCCTATTCACGTTCATTTAATGACAGTTTAGATGAATTCATCATCAATTATTCAATTGAGAAGACATTAGAGATTGAGCTGACAAATAACACTGATTGACCAGTGTTGCAAAGGGGCTAGATAATGGATTTTGAAATGCTTCAATTACAATCGATGGGGCAGGGCGGTGGACAGGGGCGTGTATAAAATAACAATCGACTCTTAATTAGCTGCCAATTACTTGCGTCTGTTTCAGCTGTCAAATTCACTCGCATTCGCATTCGCATTCTCATTCGCTTTCCAAATATGCCAAATATTATAAAATATTTCAATAATTGTGGCTTTAAGGCGTGTAACGTAACATAGCGCAACGCACAACGGCCACAACGGCCCTTCGGTTAGTTAATATTCTGTTGTAGCCTTTTTGCCTGTCAAATGCATTTATCAACCCGGTCAGGCCCCCACCGAGCCGCTGCTCGGGCGGGACGCTTTTCGAACCAGCCCCATTTAATAATATCAAAATAAATATCAAATTATTTAGGACTGGGGGCTATGGGAGCTGTGCGTGTGTGTGTGTGTGTGTGTATGTATGTGGTGTGTGGGTGTGTGGGTGTGTGTGGTGTGTGGGTGTGTGTGTCCTTGGTTAGCATTTGGCTTGGACTTGAATACCCTATGATCAACGGGTTAGCCATATTGGGATAGGCCTTATAATTATTTGTCAAACCCTTTCTTTAAGTATATTCTCGATCTGCATATAGATTCATGTTTGATATGTATATGGTTTGATTGTCAAAGTTCACCGATGTTTTCAGTTGTTATAAAGTGTCGTCTACTGGCTTTAGTCTATATTTTCTGTATTTTTAGAATATGATATAAAATATAATTTTAAAAAATGTTTTTAAAACAGTTTTAAAAATA